AAAATTAGAAAGAAATTAATTGGACAACTAAAAATATATAGAAAAAATTAGCCGGGCATGGTGGCGCACGCCTGTAGTCCCAGCTACTCGGGAGGCTGAGGCAGGAGGATTGCTTGAGCCCAGGAGTTTGAGGTTGCTGTGAGCTAGGCTGACGCCATATCACTCTAGCCTGGGCAACACAGTGAGACTCTGTCTCAAAAAAAAAAAAAAAAAAAAGATACTATTGGTCTGACTGGGAGAAATGAAATGGATTCAAGCCTTAATTAAAAGTCTTACACCAATGTCAATTTCCTTGTTTTGAGATTGTACTACATTTATATAAGATACTACCATTGAAGGAAGCTAGGTGAAGTGTATGTGGAACTCTATGTACTATTTTTGCAATTTCCTTTGAGTCTGTAATTATTTCAAAATAAAAGAAAAAACCAAATGGATTGAGAAAAAATCCACTGCTTATAAGGTTATGGGCAAATAAGCACTCACAGATTGTGGGGTAAGGGGTAACTGAAAACTGCTACCTTTCCCCACATTTCTCATTTTTCCCTTAGGAAAGTAACATGGAAGTATCCATTAAAATTAAAAATATTTGGGATGCCTGATGCAACAGTCCTATTTGAATCTATCCTACCAAAATAAGGCCATAAGTTAGGGACATATGTACAAGGATTTACTCCACCATTTGAAGCATCAAAGCACTGAAAATGAGCTGGGCACAGTGGCCCAAGCTGGTAATGCCAGCTACTCTGGAGGCTGAGGCAGGAGGATCTTTAAGCCCAGGAGTTCAAGACCAGCAGGGGCAACATAGCAAGAACCCTGTCTCAAAAATAAGTCACTGAAAAATGACCTCAAAGTCCACTAATAAGGGAATGGCTGACCACGTTAATAGAGTAACCAACAAGACACGAATCAATAATAGCCATGTTAATAGCTAAAGGAGTGTTAACTATGTTCCAGGAAGTCTTCTGTTTAGCCCTCACAACAATCCTATGAGGCAGGTAAAAATCACTATACCATTTTTGCAAATGAAGAAACTAACATATAGAGGTGTTTAATAAGCTGGTCAAGATCACACTGTTAGTTAATGGTGAAGCCAAGATTCTAGTAACAAGAAAGAAAACAGAAACAGAACAGGGAAGAGATGGCTTAAGAAGAGAATATATAAATAAGAAAAAAAAAATTCAATAATCTACTTGGTAAGTTTAGCCCAATTAACGATATTTAATTTCAATATTAGGTACCTACTCTGTTTAAGGCAATAAACTAAGATCTGTGGATCCAAAGAGGAAAGCTTTCTTAGCTCAGAATCTAATAGAGAAGATAGATAAGGGAGCAGACGGCCACACCACATTGTGATCAGTGCTATTAATATAGACATAGGTCCAAAATTCCTGATCCAAAACACTTAGGCTGAATGTTTCAGACATAAGAATTTTTTGGAATTTAGAAAAGTAACATGATATGACATAAATTACATAACACTGCCATGGAGATTAGGGGCAGCATCCCATAACCAAACACAGTGAAACATATGAATAGTTATACTAACTGAGATAAACAAAGATTATGTAGAGTCTCATGTCAATTCAAGAAGTGTTGTCAAATGAGCTTTGGTGTTAAACATTTGAAGAAACTTCATTTTTCAAGTATTTGGGTTATTGTAATCATGGATAACAGACTGTGAACCTGTGCTTTGGGTCAGAGAAAAAAAAAAATCTAGTCTAGGGCTTAGCACTCAACAACAGTAACAACAAAAACAACAACAATAAAAGCAACAAAACAGTCCTTAAAGTGAAACCTATAAAATGAAAGTAAACGGCATAAATATCTGGTGAAAAGATGTGAGAAGAGCAACTATACAGAAACCATCATAAAATTTCCTTGAAAATCTGGATATAATTTCCCTCTTTAAAACAAGTTTTGAAAAACCCACAAAATACA